TTCATCTGGGTCTCCATTCGTTCTTCACGTTAGCCACTTTCCTCAGATACCCGGTGGTGTTGGGTGTGTGCCGAGAATTCCAAATGGGAGGTGAAAGTGCTCAAAGCGCATGGGTAGATGTGTACCTTTTGTCTGCTGGGGTGCCCGATATCAATGACCTTAGTCTAGGTCTTTCTTCTTGGGCTGGTTGGATTCCAGACCCTTCCCATCTCCTTGTGGGGGAAAGGAGAAGAGGGCTGAGTTTCTGCACCTTCAGTAAGTCGGCTAGTTCTTTTCATTGGGTCTCTGATCTGAGCTGTGCCTGCCACCTTCAGTCCAGAGCCCTCTGTTTCCTCTCCAGGACCCGAATGTCCAGTCTGCTGCTGGGTGGGTGGGACCGCTGCTTGCCACAGTGGGGAGAATCTAGGCAACCTGACCACTTCGACAAGCTTTCAACTCATCTCATTCCAGCATCTCTTTTCTTTCATCCCCAGTTCCAGAGGTATTGGTGCTACCTACCATCCTGAACCATGTAGCGATTCCGTCATGTAAATGTGGATGGTTCCTGTACTAGAATGGTCAACTTCATGCTCAGTTTTCTTGGGTCTGCTAAAAGCATGAATATTTATCCATCTCCCTTCCAGCTTCCCAAATGCTGTGGTTCGCTTCCCTCCCTGCCATACTTTTAAGTTTGTGGTTGAAAACACCACCAACAACAACAAAACCTCTACTGGCATTTTAGTGGGATTTGGGGGAGGGAGTCAAAGTATATTTGTTTCAGAATCCCTGTCTTCACCCAAAGGTCTTTACTCTGTACTTGAAGGCAAATCAAAAGGGAGTGGACATAAGCAAAAGGAAAAAAAAGGAAGGACAAATTAGCAAGGAGAGAGATGAGTTCCTGGAAATTGTTTTGGAAAAAGATGAATTAGCGAATGAATGAATGAATGAATGAATGGTGAGCTTCAATCCTTTTTACCTAGATGACTCCTAAAACTTCTGTGGGGTAGCTATACCTGGTCCTCCTGAAGCATGAAACCCTCAGGTAAAAACAATACAAAAGGACAGATTTTAGAGGGAGCGTGGCCATGTTGACACCTTGACATGGGACTTCACAACTGGAAAACAATAATTTCTATGATTTGAAGCCACCCGGTTTGCTGTACGTTATTCTGGCAGCCTTGGGAAACTACTGCAAGTCTCAAGTGTGTGCCAGCCCTTGCTGGTTCCTCGGCTGCAAAGCCCCTCCAAAGGGCCTCCCTCACCTGCCACAGCTCCCTCCTTGCTCTGGTGCCACCTTTGCAGAAAGGCCAGGTCCAACCACACCGCCGAAACTAGCCATTCCTGCCTCTCTGCATTCTTTGGCCTCTTTTATTTTTACCCATGGTTCCTAGCCATACTCGACTTTACATTGCATATCTTTTGTTTACTGTCTGCCTTGCATTCTAGAATGTAAGCATCATGAAAGTAGAGACAGTGTCGTAAGTCATGGCTGTAGGCCAGTGCCTACCACGTGCCTGGCTTAGGTAGGCTCTCCGTACACAGTGTATTTGTTCCCTTAATGAATGAGCTACTTGAGAGTCCGGGTTACTTTTTAATTGTGTCGCCTTTACGTTGATTTGCTCACAGTAGATTCTCAGTAAATATGTGCAGATGCACCTTAATAAACCCATCGCCACTGGGGGGCTTAAAGGCTCTGCAAGGTTAAGGAGTCAAAATGTGTGTCACACTGGCTTGGGTTGGGTGGCCTCTTGGCTGTAAGACGATTGTGGGGGCAATCGATCAGATTTCTCTGAGTAATCATCTGTTTGCCTCGCCCGGCCGCTGTGTCTCTTGCCTGGAACACCACCCCCACTTGCCCGCTGTTTTTCTGATTAAGGAAACAGAATTGAGTAATCTAAATGTAGTTTGTGTAGCTCAGAGGTGCCAATCATGGCAAATAATGAATTAAGCAATTCCCCCCCTTCCCTGAAGCACTGAGCTGAAACCAACAAATTCATTTCATTTAGGACCACAGGCCGAACTGGCAGTTCTGTCTGTGGCAGGAAGAGTGCTCTCTCTTAGTTAATGAAGTCACCGGCTCCTGCAAACCTCCCGCAGGGAGGGGCTGCTTATCTGTGCCGGCCCAGACGCTGCTTCCCTCTGTTTGTGAAGAAGCAGTTACAAATGCGTAAGCCAGGAAAAAATGCACTTACATAGCATAAATATGTAAATAAAACACATATATACATATGAATCTCATATAGTTTTGTAAATGTCTTTAGCCTTTCAAGGGCCTTTCTAATTTTCTTAGTAAACCCATACTTAGAATTCACAATTTCTGGGATAAGGGATGTTTTCTAATCAGTTTTGAAAAGAAACGATACAAAGCACACTTTATTGGCTTTTATTTCTTTTTTTTTTTTTGGCTTTTATTTCTGAAGAACATAAAAATGTACTTGTTGGAAAGCTGTTCTATTTGATATTTGTAAGAAATAAGCCTTAGATTAGAAATACCCATTGTTATAGTACTTTCTGTTGGGAAAAAAATAACAAAGTTCTGTTTCCATTTATAATCTCTGACTCTTTATATGTGAACAAGGAGGCTTTGTTTATTTTTGTATTTGGAATATTTGTAAAACTCTTTCTGAATAATGATTCATCTACATTGTTGCTCGTATCAGTACTTCATTCCTTTTTTTTTTAATTTTATTTTTCGATTACGATTTATATTCAGTATTATTCTGTGTTAGTTTCAGGTGCACAGCATAGTGGTCAGACAATCATACACCTCACAGAGTGTTCCCATCAGTATTTCCTGCGCCCACCTAGCACACCCTACACAGCTACTACACTGTTATTGGCTATATTCCCCATGCTGGACGTTACATCCCCAAGAACCAGGAGGTTTTATATACGAGGAACTTTGAGTTTTTTTTAGTCAGTAACAATGAAGATACAAGATGTGAATAAAACGTATGAAATGGTGCTACTTCATTTTTAAGATGTCATTATATTGATATATTTAATAAAGCATGTTTTGCCAGCTCCTTTTTCCTTTCTGGGCAGATACAAATTTACCCCTTCCCAGCTGTCGATGATGTGAGACCTGGCACCTTTATGCCTTGTCACTAATCATCAGCATTAGCCTGGGAGGGGCCAGAAGACCCCTGGTTATCTCCACCCAGCAGGACAGGGCACAGCACCCGGACTGGGAGGGGTGACTTATCCAGCGCTCCCAGAGGTCGCTGAGAAGAGCCTGGTAGCCCAGACACCTGAAACCTTTGGCCTTTTCTAGAAAGTTTTCTGGCCTTGTCTACACTTTTTCTAGCCCAGCACTTCAGAATGTTAAGTGTTTTTTGTGTAGTTTATCTAAAAGAAATAGATTTAGGCTTTAGGTAGAGAAGTATATTATCTATAAAGATTATCTTAATGTTTGTTATGAAAGTAGAGTTAGCAAAACGTATATGTAGGGAAGCAGTCTGATGCTTGGAGCAAGTTTTACCGTGTTTTTCAAGAAACATCCCTTGGCCCTGATTGGTGTGGCTCAGTGGCTTGGGTGTCACTGGTTCGATTCCTGATCAGGACACATGCCTGGGTTGTGGGCCAGGCCCTGGTTGGGGGCTTGCAAGAGGCAACTGATTAATGTTTCTCTCTCTCTCTTTTTCCCTCCCTTCCCCTCTCTCAAATAAATAAATACAAATCTTTAAAAAAAGAAATATTTCTTGCTTGAATTTGAAGATCATGCAGGTAACATGAAAAGCAATCCCTTTAGGCATTTTACCTTGGGTTCATAACCGGAGGAGGGCTAACTTAATAAACTAGTAATAAACTAAGTCAATCAAAAGCACAAGTTTTAGCTCCAGCAAATTGGCTTTCTACCCAATCTAGACTTCATCTTTGTGGACTGTTGCACATGGCTTGCCCCCTTCCTTTGCCCAAATGTTACGGAGGACTTCTCTGATGCATCTATTTCAAATTACGTTAGCCTCCCCTCCCCATCTCCCTTACATTGCCTCATTTTTTTGTTCTAATGCTCATCAGCACCCAAATAATACACATTGTGACCACTTTGCCCCTCCCCTAACCCCAGTGTAAATAAACCCCATCTATTCTGTTCACCACTGTTGCTCCAGTGCCACACAGCAGGTGCTCAGTACTTATTCAATGAGTGAACGATGCCTGAGACTTTTCTGTCCTAAGGGTTGGTCTTGTTCTCCTCAGTGCACTGAACATCTGGGCAGGTCAGGGGTGTGGAGGTGTGGGAATTAGGAATGAGCGAGGGGCCTGTGGCCTGCGGGGACACCATTCCTGTAAGAAATGTGCTTGTACCCTGGCTGATGTAACTCCGTGGATTGAGCACGAGTCTGTGAAGCAAAGAGTCGCTGGTTTAATTCCCAATCGGGGCACATGCCTGGGTTGCAGGCCAGGTCCCCCATAGGGGACACGTGAGAGGCAACCACACATTGATGTTTCTCTCCCACTCATTCTCCTTCCCTTCCTCTCTCTCTTATAAATAAATGAAATTAAAAAAAATGCACTTGCTACACTGGCTTTCACTTCTCCTAATGCTCTCATGTTATTAGTGTAATGTTTGCTTTCTGGTCTCACCTGTCAAACTTGACTACACAGAGGCACTACAGAGAAATAGAATAATTATGTCATTTGTCTCTAGTAAAAAATAATTCCTTTTCCTATTCGGAAAACAAAGCAAAACAAACAAAATAAGTTCGGCACAGCTGTGTTGTAATTAAGCAAGCTAACTAGAGAACTGAGCCCACGTCCTTAATATCTAAGTAATAGTAAGGGAAAATGTCTAGAAATCCTTTGCTGAATTGTGGCTGCGGGTCCTGACTTAGGCAGGTTAGCACAGGCAACCAGGACATTTGCCCAGCGCGACATGGGCTGTAGTGGGACTTTAATGCATGGATTTGTTTTGGTGGCGGAGAGGAGGCCACTAGCGCAGTAACCGGCCATTTCTGGCCCCGGGGGCGGTGCTGGGCCGGGGCGGGCACCCAGAGGGGGCGTGTCTTTGCCCGGCCCCTCCCCAAGCCCCAACAGCAAATGAGTGGGCGCGCCACGGGGTCGCGTAAGAGACCACGCTGGAGATAGCGGTTCCATGGGGTTTGTAGGGTCGCTCAGTGGCTCGGAGCCGTCGTGACCCCTGCTGAACACGCCGCGGCAGCAGGAATCCAGGCCCGGGCGCAGGCTGCCCCGGGAATGCTTTCCTCCGGCATAAACATGGCTGCGGCCCTGCGAACCGCGGGCGCTGTGCTCCGCGATCGAAGTAAGTAGAGCTGTCGCTGCAGTCGCTGATGCTGGGGTCCCCGTGACAACGGGGACCGAGAGCAGCTCCTTTCCCCAGCCCCCATGCCCCCAGCCCCCATGCCCCGGCCTGGGGGCTTCCGGGAGCGGCAGCATACTGCCCAGGAAGTTGCGCCTGGTCGGACGAGGGACAGAGAAGGAACTGGAAAGGGACCTTTCCTGGGAGGGTCTGGAGTAGGGACATTGGTCACCCGAGGATACTGGTCACCCGAGGATACTGGTCACCCGAGGATACTGGGAGGCCGCGCGGGGAGGGGGCATGCTGTCCCACCGGTCAGCTGGATGGCTGTCAGCAATGGCTGTATTTATCAGAGTCTTGGTTTTTAATCTGCAAAGTCAGAATAATGATAGGCACAGGATTGTTGTGAGTATTACGGAGGGACGACGCGTTAGGTAAGGACCTGCCACCGGGAGGATTGTAATGAAGGCGTTGTCCGCCCAGCACAAAAGCGTCCAGAGGCTTTGGTTCGAAGTTAATATAACAAAGATTTACCTAAGGATCTTAGAGTTTGCAAAGGGGAAACACAACTAGGCAATACGCAGAGTGTTCCGAAGGAGAAAGAAGTCAAAGAGTTTTTATAGTAAAAGCACTTTTGGAAAAAAAAAAAATCAGTCCTGCATTCTTAGCTGGTGGATTGGCCTAAAATGGGAATCTTCCAGATGTCCAGTGCTTTGAGTAATGCAATCTTTTCTTCCTGAGGTCATTCTGATGATTCACTGAAGGTTCGATGTATGTCCAGACATCGATGCATAAGGGACTAATGTGCATCCAGGTATTGACACAGGATTGGGAAGATCAGAAATTTAAGTTCCCAAGCTAATTAAGTCAAGAACAGAATCGTTTCCTTATGCCTCAACTTACTTTCTTTTAATAACTTAGCAGCTTGACTGTAGTGACTCCATTTTATTTCTTCACTCTTATTCTTCAACGCATCATCATCACCATTGGCATCTACCCTTGGCTTGCTTCCCTGGTGGTGGAGGGAAACTACCTGGAGACAAAAGGCATGATCTTTAAAGAGGAGGAAGCACAGTGGCAGTAAGGGGGCTGAAAGGAGTTCAAATTAATCTTTTCTCTCATGGACCCTTCTTGTGGCAAACAAAGTTGGACAGTCTGTAGACCCAGGTCATGGAACAACATGAGGAACTTTAAATGGTGTACTGTTCGGGTTGTAAGTACCTAAGTGGAAGGATTCAGAAACTAACAAGTAGATTTGATGTCCACTTGTATTAAGGACCCTGATTTTAGGATGGAGTTGGAATACTTGAATCATCTTGTTTGGTATGAAGGATTTAGTGTTATCTGCTTAGAAAAAATTCAGTAGCACTTCTGAAAACAAATCGGAAAGTAAGAGTGGAAAAGCAAAGTTTTACATTCCATGCTTTAGGCATATGGCTCCCTGGGGTGTATTACCTGCCATATATATAATATATATATTATATATATCATATATATAGTATATATATGATATATATATAATTAGAAAGTTGGTACAATAATGAATTATTGTTTTTCTTTGTGACTCTTTCCAAATTTTCTACATGAGCATGTATGTATTTAGTAGTTAGAAGAAAAAAAAACTAGAATAAAGAGTATCAGATTTCAGCTCCATACCAGAAAATAACAATTGTTTTTTGACACTTCCCCTCCCTAAGTGCTTATCAATAGTCACAATATAGAACCGTATTTCTGTTAGTTATTTAAATGATATATACAGGGTCTGGTTCAGAAGTAAGGCCTGCTTGGGTGGGGTTGGTCGGGTAATAATATGGGCCCGATAATTTATGGCTTTAATATGAACATTTCACCTAAAATGTCATATGGTGTACTTGAATGTGATATTGTTATGAGTTTGCTTATGCTTATGATTTTGTAATGAAAATGAGCATTATTTGTGCTGAACCTTGTATTTTTATAAGTCCCTTTTGAAATAATCCTCAACTCCTATGTGGCAGAAAGGGATTGTTCTTTAGCTGTGAGCTGAGTATATTGAAGTGCTGTGTACCTTGCTTTTTCTATGCTCTTCTACCCCACCCCAATCATTAAAAAATTAAATATCATTAAATAATTAAAAATCATTAAAATAATATTAAATAATTTGGTTTTAGAGGACCAGTTGATAGCCAGGAACTTCTGTAAGTCACAGGTATAGTTTGGAATGTTTTACCTGTTGGGTTTGTCCAGGAGTAATGAAGTTTTTTGTTTCTTCCATCATTTTCTCTTCTGCAAATCCCTCAGTTTGATAGCCTTTATTGTTTGTAGATCTTTCAAAGGTAGACCAGTTGTCCATGTCAAGAGTAGAATTACCTGGTCTTAGTTCTACTATTGAGTAAAGCACATCCTCAAAGAACATTGTTTTGTCCAACATCATTTTGTTACAACGTCGATGAGATGCCTTGGGGAGTTAATTCTTGTTTATATCAGTTAGTCTATGGTAAAATTGGTTTCATCATACGTTGTTTTACTTAAAGTTGTAGAACCTATTGATGACATTAAGTGAGGACTTGCTGTGTTCTTACCTCTTGTTAAACCATATGCGGTTTGCTGGGCACTCTTGATGGGGCTGGACATAGATTTTTTTCCCTAATCTTCACCACAGCTCTGCAGGACTAACCTTATCACCCTTTTACAGATGAGAAAAGTGAGACGTGGAGTAGCTCAGTGGGTGCCCAAGCAGTGCCACGCAGCTTGTTGGCCCTCCCAGGGGTTTCCGCTCGGATCTGTCTGGCTCCAGGACATGTACTCTCTGTACCGCACAGTGCTGCTTGGGCCTTTGGGTTACTCTTCAGCTGTGGGCTAAGTCTCAGTCGGCCCTCTGAATGATCTCTTCAAACTCTGTTAGCTAGATGAACACTAATCTTTTGGTAGGAGACACTCAGTGTTTTTCCAGACTCTTCAGATCATTAGGGGAGAGGTGTGTTCTAGAGACATCTTTGGGGGGTGAGTGTAGTAACTCTAAATCCTGGGCAGACAGGACCCATGATCAGTAACCTCACCATCCTCTGAGGATTCGTTCAACTGCAGAGAAGAGAATTTTGTAAGTAGTGGGCAGTGCAATAGTTCGGCAGTTTGAGTAGCTTCCTGCTGCCGAACTGTTCTCGGTTTCAGTTGGAGAGCCTCATCTCACCCTTAGCCCTTTTTCAGGTTTACGGGAGCAAATTTTATTTTATTACTAGCAGTCCTATTACGGGGTGCCAAAGTTCTGTTCTCATACTCCGTGGGATCTGCTATCGTCTCATTCACACAAGGGACTGCAGACGTTGAGGCGTGGTTGAGGATCTGGTTAGAGCTCCTCAAGCAGGTCGGATTGAGCATCTCTGAAACAAGGCTGTGTGGGTTGCTGGGAGACTTCGCTGGAGCAGAACTGAACTTCTTTATGTTGGCCTTGGCACTTCCACTTCAGGTTAGGGTTATTCTATTCGGCACAAGCTCCTGAAATTGGCTCTGTTGGGAATGGGCACGATATGGATAGTTGGAAATCTAAGTGGCCTGGGGACGCCATTCTCCTGTACTTTGTGGGCATTCTAGGAGATAAACATCAGCAGGTGTTGTCCCTGTGCTCTAGACACTTAACAAATGAAACTAATGCCAACGTTAATCACATGCGGCAGAGCCGGTGCAGAATGCTTTACTGATTGTATCTGCTCTAACCCTCACGAGGGTCCCGATAACAGTGTGTCATCATCCTACATGGGGTTTGGTGGGTGGCGGTGGGAACTAAGGCTCAGAAGTGTTACAGCCCGATCCCAGTCACATTAAGTAAGTGGCAGAACTGGGTTCTGAGTCAGATCTGCTGGTCATCGGCCCAAGTTCCTTACTAGGACACCTAGTAAGGAGGAGGAAGGAAGGAGACTGACCTACAGGCTGGCCTCAAACCTGTGGGTTTGAGAATATGGACAGGAGATCAAGTGTGCAGTGTGCGGCTGCAGCTGAGCGTGGCCCATGGACTCCTCAGTTCCAGTGGCCTCTCCAGGCTCACCACTAACTCTTGTGGGGCCCAGGGCAAGAGTGCAAGTGGAGAGACATATAGCCTCTGGAGGGCAGCAAGTTAACAAACTGTGAAATATGTTCTGTTTTCCCACGCTGATAAACAGACCTTCACAAGGACCTGGAAGGGTGCAATCTCGAACTCTTCAGAGTTCCTGCAGAATGTGGAGGCCCTGGGAGACTTGTGTCTGGCCTGCAGGCTTCCCTGCCTCTCTTCCCACTGCTGGCGCATCCCCTGTGTGCTTCTCCAGCTTGTATGCTCAAGCTCCATTCTTGTCCCTGTGAGCAGCCACTCGTTGGGTACCTGTCAGGGCAAGAATGGCGTACGCTGGCTGCACACTCAGCCCTTAGGAGGATGGATCCAGGAGAGAGGCCTGTGCAGACCTTGGAAGTGGGCGTGGGGCTTTGGGGCAGGGATTCTGGGGTCCTGGGACTCTGGTCAGGAATAGGGGGAATCTGGGGGTCCACGATTCCTTGGCCCTGTAGACTGTGTACCCCATTGGATGGGGCACAGCTGGGGGAGCACCAGAGTGGGACTCTGAAGGACAGGCTCCCTGTTGTCAGGGTCCAGGGGCCGCACTGGGGCCCTCAGCACTGCTGCTCTTTTGGAGAAGGTGTGCAGGCTGATGGCAGACCTGCGCGGCTGGTGGAAAAGCAGCCAGGTTCCACTCCTTCGGCCAGTGGCTCTTGCCCTTTCTGCAGGCTTCTCACCTTTCATCTGAGCAGCACTCGGTCATCAGTCACTTTCATAAGGTGCAGTGATTCTCATGAGGCTCCGGGCAGGTCCCGATAAGCCATCCTAGGGGGCACCGCCATGTCCCCTCAGAGAGGCCTTCACCCACCTGCAGAGAAGCTGGGGGTGGGGGAGGCAGGGGTCTCACCTCTGCCATAGCATCTCCTTAGAGTTCAAATGCAGGAGTTCTGCTCTGCAGGAGTTCTGCTGAGAAGAAATCACGTTCCAGCTGCACTTCATGCTCCAACTTTAATTTTGTCATAGTGGTGCCCGGCAGCTTGAGGGCCCGTCCGCCGTGGAGGTGCCAGTCGGGTGCAGCAGCCACAGCGGCAGCCGCCACACAAACAGCCAAACGTGCCAGAAGCCCGGAACCTCAAGTTCAACCAGGGAACAGGTATGTGTCCAGTCCGAGGTACTGTTAAGGTGTCTCTTGACGGATGCTAGCACCCGTGGAGACCAGCGCCGGGAGGAGTGGGCTGGGAAAATTGGTAATACGGGCAGCGGGATGTCGTTTTTGTGCCTTCCTTTCAATAGCCGTTAAACTATGCAACAGGTTTCACCACCCCACCTCCCATGTAGGGCTTTCAAAGTTTTTTTTTTCATTTTTACAGATTTTCAAATAATTGATTGATTGGTTTTCCAGCTTTGTTGAGGGACAGTTGACAAATACAAAAGTCCCACAGGCTTTTGTCAGAGGACACAGAGTTGACTCCCAGCAGTCTGCAGGTCATGTGGTACTTAGCTCTGGGACATGTCACATAACACAAGTTACATGTATGCTAGAAATGTATTTAATGAACCCAGTATAATTACCCCTGTGAAATGTATGTCCCATGCAGGATAAAGAATAATGAATCTACCGAGAAGTCCTGTAGTGAACTCTACCATTGCTTTTCATCTGTCAACACAGTGACCATAATTACAGATGACGTAATATGATTGATAATTTATTGAAGAAATAGAGTACGTGTTTCATACCTCGCCCCTGTGTTTGTGGGTGGCTGTCAGCAGGTCTGCCGTTGTTGCTGGGTGTCCTCTTTCGTGACAGGAGTCATGGCTGTTCTCAAGTCTTTCCCTGGCAGGGAGGCAGCAGCAGACTCTGAAGACAATTATTGGAATGAGTGCATAGCTAGAGCAGTGCACTTGAACCCTAAGCACAGTGAGAGAAAGTAGTGGTGAACTATTTAACCCCTTGATCTCCCTGGTAGACCAGGTGTTCTATGAAAGTTACACGGCTATGAAAATAAAATAGTCGTGCTGTGTGTTTACTGTTCTTCATTGTGTGACCAGGGGCACACTGCTTGAGAACTAGTAGACTGAGGTTTGCAAGGGATAGGCCATTAGGGGTGGGGCCCCGAATCACCTCCTTTCACTTCCTCACTTCCTTGAAGATTGACTCAGGCACAGAGGACAGGACGCACAGACGCTGGCTCCGGCCTGGCGTGCTGAGCAGGGCACCGCGCGGCCTTGTCCCCCATGGTCCCTCTCCTCAGCCACAGTACCCAGTGCTCTAAGTCCTTAGGGTGTGTGGTGTAACCTGAAGAACCGATTTGATGTGGACCCCTGGAAAAAATTACTTCATTCTCATATTACTTCAGTGGCAAAAGTCAACAATAGAAATAGCCTTAATATTAAATTATTCACATTTAATAAAAATCTTAAAATATAGAAATTCTTGATCAAACATAGTATAGGTGAATAAGGTAGGACTCTAAATTTGCAGACTAAATGTATATAATCATATGATATTAAATGGCTATGTCATTTATACAAAAGAAACAGGTTTATTTTAGGAAATGCAGACAGGCAAAAAAAAGGTTAAAAAAAGCAGTAATCTCATCATCTAGTATTTGTCTCTGTATCTATATCTATTAATAGTCACTCAGTATATGTATGTTTACCAAAATGTGACAATACTGTTCATGTTAGTTTCATAACTTCCGCTCTTTATTTAGTAATACGTCACCATATAAATATAAACATGACACATTAAAGTATCGCCAATTCAATTCCCAGTCAGGGTTGCAGGCCATGTCACCAGTAGGGGGTGCCCTAGAGGCAACCACACATTGATGTTTCGCTCCCCCTCTCTCTCTGTCCTTTTCCCTCTCTCTAAAAATAATTAGATTAAAAAAAAACCAAAATACTATACATTATTCTAATAATGTAAGGGTAGTAAATCATAATTTATTTGTCCAGTCCTACACAGTGGGGCATGTAGATTATTTCTAGTGTTTGGATATTGGAAAGGATGAAATGGTGAGTGTCTGTGGATTTTCTGGTCGCAGACACTGTGAAGCCGTTGTGCTGCCTCCTGCCCGGATGAGAGTTGACAAGACCAGATGAAACGCTCGCCTAGACCGGGGGCAGCTGGCTTGTCTGTAGAGGACTCGGGAGTAAATTTTAGGCTTGGTGGGCATCAGCTCTGTTGTTGTCATGTGAGAGCAGCCACAAACGATGCCTAAGTAAATGAGCTGTGTTCCAATAAAGCTTTATTTAAAAAACAAGTGTGGGGCAGGCTGCCAGCTTGGTGTGTGGGCTGTGGTTTGCCAAACCCTGCTCTAGAGGCGGAGTGGACCCTCCGGCCAGTCGCACCCTGCGGGCCGACCACAGGACATGGGGTTGAATTCCAGGTATTGCTGAGCTGAGTTTTTGTGAGGTACCATTCATAATTCAAAGGAAAAAAAACTAACATTTTGAGAGTCTCAGAATATAAAAATGGCAAACCATTGACACCTTTCAGAGTGAGGAGTGTTAGATATGTTTCGCTGCAGGCACTTTTCCATTCAAACAAAGGGACGCTCGCTGGCTTTTCAGACCTTGGTCTCAGATGTGCTCCGTCTGGAGGGGCGCAGGGACAGAGACCCTCGACTAAAGCTTTGTGCTTCACACCCTGGAAAGGGCGTGTCGGATTAAGGCTTACTAATGCGCCGTTTGTCATGCACAACACAGTTCGGAATTAAGTGCGTGTGTATTAGGTATTTTCATCTCTCGCATGTGTAAGATCAACATGCTTTGCAAAACACGGGTGTGCAGGGCAGGGTAGCATCCCATTTAAAGACACTCTGGTTCGGAGCTCAGGTGTAGATGAAAACCAGCTTTGAATCCCATTTGCCCATCGACGCCCTCTGGGGCTTAGGTGGGTCTGCTCGCCGGGGGGTTTCTTAACCACTAATCTGTCAACTGGCAGCGATCCACGGGAAGATGCACTTAATTTATTGTGAATCACAGATTTTGAAAGTGAAAGACAGTATCCCTGGAGAATATCCCTGGGGATCTCAGCAGAAAGATTAGAGGAATATTTCAATTTCACAATAAAATGAATCTGGATTTTCAGGTATCAAGAAAAGAAAACTAAACACCTGTGTTAATTCATTGTGAGGACTTCTGGTCAGAGGGGGTGGAAAAGTTGTAGAACAATGACATCTGCAGTGTAGTCATGTGATTTAATAAGAAGGTTACGCCCCCTTTGTCTAACAGAGTGGTCTCAACTGAGGGTGGGGGCATTTTCCCCCCAGGACGTATGTGGCCACATCTGCAGACATTCTTGGTTGTTGCACCTGGGGAGGGGCGTGTGCCCTTGCCGTCTGCTGAGTAGAGAGCAGCCATGCTCCCGAACCTCCGAGGTGCCCAGGACGGCCCTCCACAACCAAGGCCTGTCCGGCCTGAAACGTCAGTAGTGCCGTGGCCTGCGACGATGATGTGAAAAGTGAGTTAGTGCATCTTTGTAATGGGGTGTAAGTGAGAAAAGGCCTGACTTCATTGTGATGCACCATTTTCCTTTCCCAGGAGTTGGTTCTGATTTTGAAAATTTAGTCTGCGAATTTAGACTTCTACCTCACTCATCTATAATGTGCTTGATCAAGAAGCAGCTTCCACCTGTTCAGATTTGACATGCTTTGCTGCCTGCCGTTGCCAAGTGTTGGCAACAGCTGTTTAACAGTTGCAAATAACACATCATCATGGCGTCATTCACTTTAGAGCACATCGAGGACAGTTTTCCCAACAAGAGCCGTCTCAGCAGGGAGTGTTCAGGCGGCAGCTAGCGGTGGTGTAACGTAGGAGGTGTGGAAAGTGTGTTCGTGGTAACGGTGTTTCGGGTGAACCTCAGACCTGTGTTTCTCAGCTGCTCTGTGAGAAGTGGCTGGAGAGTATATCCATACAGTAGAATATTATCCAGCATGAAAAGGACAGAAGTACTGGTTGATGCTGCGATGCAGATGAATCTTAAAAATTTTATGCTAAGTGGCCCTGGCTGGTGTAGCTCAGTGGATTGAGCGCGGACTTGTGAACCAAAGGATCAGAATTCGATTCCCAGTCAGGGCACATGCCTGGGTTGCAGGCCAATTCCCAGTGGGGGACACATGAGAGGCAACTATACATTGATATTTCTCTCCCTCTCTCCTTTCCTTCCCCTCCACAGATAAATAAATAAAATCTTTTATGCTATGCTAAAAATTTGTATGCTAAGTGAAAGAAGCCAGACACAGAAAGTCACATATTATATGATTCTGTTCCTATGAAATGTCCTAAATAGACCACAGACCCAGAAAGTAGATCAGTGGTTGTCAGGCATGGGGGGGAGGGAGGAGGAAAATGGGGAGCGGCTCTAATAGATACAGGTTTTCTTTTTGGGGTGATGAAAGTGTCCGAGAATTAGATAACTTGTGATGGTCACGCGACCTTGCGAATACATGAAAAACCACTGAACTGTACAGTTTAAAATGGCAAGTTTTGTAGTCTGTGAATTTTATCTAAATTGTTTTAAATAGAGGAAAAAGAATGGAAGATACACTGTGGTGTTCCCTTTAGTTTTCCCACTGCAGGCTCTCGCACTGTCACCGTGTGGCTACCCAGTCATGGGGACACACAGGCCTCCAGGTCAGGGCCCCGCCCGGGCTCTGACCTCGTAGTTCCCCGTCTCTGGTCGAGGTCTTTCGGAGGCTCCCAGGAGCCCGTGGTGGCACTGAGTCCTGTTCCCGTTCCACCTGGCCCCTGGCAGGGGCAAGAACAGAGAATTCTGTCTGGCCTGGCTCACTTTGGGCTCTGCGGGCTCCCGACTTGCTCTGCACTATAGAAGTTTACATTTTGCCTAGGCCTTCTGTTTTCTGATCTCTCAGATGCTGCTTGACTGAAAACTTTTATTCCAGAGTTTTGTTTTCTTTTTAGCTTCTTCTTTCTCATTCAGTGCTTAAGTCATTATTAGCCTGAAACCACTTTGAGTAAGTTAGATAGTTTCTTACAGGAATTACCTAAAGGAGTCAAGGTAGATGCTGGGTTAGGAAGCAGGGTAGCAAGAAATAATTTAAGTCAGTAATAATTTAATTGGATAATGAAATACAGAGAAGGTAAGACAAAGGCTGGAGAGACAAGGGCTGGTATGCAGTTACAGGGAAACCCAAGGCTTCTCTGTGTAGGAAAGAACTCACTGTGCTAAGTGACTAAGTGCATCATCCATTTAATTCTCAAAACAACCTTCAGAGGCAGGTGGTAGCCTCTCTAGTTTACAGGTGAAGAAACTGAAGTTTGAAGAGATCAGATAACCTGTGTATTCATGAGGCTTTCCCATCACTGGGTGCTTCTGCCTCAGAATGACTTTAGGGCCATACCTTGACCCTCATTCCACAAAGAATGGGGTCTTTGTTCAGGGCTGCCAGTTTAACAGAGAGACATTTTGAGGCCACTGAAGACCCCTGCCAAGGACAGAGCTGCGGCCACCCGGACCTGGAGGCCTCGTGAGCTCCTTAGCAGGTGGCCACGGGGTGGCAGTGAACTGGCCTGTAGGTTTTCACCGTCGCATAGAACAGGTTCGATGAGGGTTTGCTAGCCACGCCAAGATCGTGCCGTAGAGGAAGATGAAAAGTGTTGCATTTCATCTTACGCAGGAAGCCGAAAACCGGAATACTGATGCTCAACATGGGCGGCCCGGAAACCCTGGGAGACGTGCACGACTTCCTTCTGAGGCTCTTCCTGGACCGAGACCTAATAACGCTCCCCATCCAAAAGTAAGGTGCCCGTGAACGCCAGCGTGTCCTCACAACTTGTCCAGTGCCTTTGGCCTTCCTGTATCTCAGTTCCGTGGTTTCAGAAGCTTACTGCACATCCGGTAGTGGCTAGAGCAGCACTATGATTTCTAGTGGGTGTAAGGAGGATACGACACTAGAGGGATTGCAGGAGAGATGCAGCGAGTTGGCCTGTGTTCTGCTCGAGCCCTCGCTCCCTCGGCTCTTGAGATGGCAGTTGTTCCGACCCGGCTGAGGTGCCTTTGAAGGTCTATAGAGATGTATTTGTACTTGGCACGTAACAGCTGGTTGACACTCAATTTGTGCTGTGGATATAAAATTTATACTCAGCGTATGATAAAATGCTAGTAGGATGTAAGTGTTTGCGGTGAAAAGCAAGTGTCGCCTTTACCTGGGACTGCAGCCTCCCAGGTACCCACGCTGGAGGTGGGCACTGCCACACCCACCAGCAGTCCGTGCGTGCCCAGGCACAGCTGTGCACACACGCATATATCCCCCCTCCCCATTTTTGCACAAATGCGAACGCAGCCATGTGCGTTCTTGGGTACGGTACGATTTTTTTCAAATTTATTGTACCTTGGAGAGTGTTCCATAACAGCTGACTCTTGTCGCTGACCTGCAGCTGCTGTTCTTAAAGGCTTGATCTCGTTAGGTCCGTTTTAAGATTTTGCTTATCTTTTTTACTGAGTAGAAAATGTTTCTGAGGTTGCTAAGGTGGAATAAAATCCACTGACCTGCATGTTGGATGATTTAGTAAGCTGGCTCCAATCATCGCGAAACGCCGGACCCCCAAAATCCAGGAGCAGTACCGCAGGATCGGAGGCGGGTCCCCCATCAGGATGTGGACGTCCAAGCAGGGAGAAGGCATGGTGAAGCTGCTGGACGAGATGTCCCCGCACACAGGTACGTGCTCTGATTCCCATCCCACGAGGCGTGCTCTTTCCAAGTAGCCACAAAGTTCAGAGCTCTGCGGGGGCCAAATGCAATTCTGGGTCCCGGCAGCTCTCGATCTGTGGAGGTCCCCAGGTGACGCACGGTCACTAGTTCTCGAGGCGTTTTCTTTTGTCCTTGGCCGGATTCCCCTTTCTGCTACTTCCTTATGTTACAAATGAAAAGGCTAAAGATTTGGAGCATTCATTTCAAACAGCAGTTCCAGGCATGTGTTAAGTCGTATTATAAGGAGGAGACGGCACGTCCTGAGTAAAAGATGCACATGTCCCTGCTCTGGGAGGAACTCTTTGGGGAACGGATGGAGGCTGCTGCTGTTCCTGTCCTTTCTGTGCGGGTAGCCGCTTAGGAGGTCAACATTCAGACCCGGATTAGCTCGTGGTTGCTGCGGCTGTGAGACTGGGCGGCTTTCAGCGACTGGTTTTAACTCCCGGCCCTGCCGCCGTTGGGAGGCATCTGTGTGCCTCGTTGGACGTGGCACCGAAACGAGGACTGCACCCCTCTGGCACCCGTCCCCTGGACACCTCTAACACGGAAAAATAAGGTGCAGAGCGAAAAGCTGAGTACACACGTCAACCCTAAGTGCCCTGTTTGGTCGCATTTGAGGCACCGCTGATTATAGGACATGAAACTGCTGTTTTCATGTAACAGCGAGCTACACACACAAAAACTCTGCTGGTTAATTTTTAAAAACTTAAAAATTTTACTTTAGGGAAAGAGAGGAAGGAGAAGAGAGGGGTGGGAAGAGTCAGTCATTGGTTGATTCCTGTCTGTGCCCTGACCGGGGATTGAACCCACAACCTTGACATAAAGACGATGTTCTAACCTCCTGAGCTACCCAGCCAGGACCTCTGCTGGTCGATGTTAAGACAGTATCAATTGTAGGTACAGACCAGTATGAGAAATGTTAATGCTAAAAGGGGCATCTTAGGCCACACGAAACACATTAACTGCAGATTCATTTGGGGGCTTCAGGCTCAGGACAGGAGCGTGACACCGTGGGGACCCCCCCAAGGAGAGCAGCCCTGCTGAAAGGCGGGACCCCCGCCTTTCACTCACACTGCACACAGACGGGGACAAAGGGCTGGAGCCCTCGGCCAGTCGTCTCACTTGGAAAATTGCTCAGTTGAGCCTCTGACTATTAGGTTTGCTTCCTGCCCTTCCTTGCGGCTCAGAGGCATTTCTTACACAGTTGAGCGACACGTGCCACAATGTAGCTTTTAAAAGGCTGTGTGGAGGAAACCTGGCTGATCTCTGCTCAGGCCGATCCCTGCTTGGCAGAGAACAAACCCTGTGGTCACTGAGTCGGACCTGCAGTGGCTCTGCTTCCCCAGTGGAAACAGGCGGCGGGAAGATGGCACTTTTCCTGCCGACGAGTAGTCGTGCCCGTTCCCATAAAGGGCCTTGGTAGAGCTGTCAGGTGGGAAAAGGGAGTAGAGAGAGGATATCCTTCTCACCCCTTCCGCTCTCCGGGGGGAGGCTGCTGGGTCGTCCACACCACACAGGCCAGCAGGCGCCTCGGCCTCCCAGGCTGGCCCGGAAAGAGTCCCGGGGAACGAGACGTCCCCACTCCGGGCTGCAGGACGGCAGGCGGGTCACCCACCCGCTGCGCCTCATCTCAAAAATGGCGATGGTGACAGAACCCAAGCCGTAGGTCGTTGTGAATATTTAATAGGGTGGTCCCGAAAGGCATTGGCGTGGTGCGTGGTGCGTGACAAAAATTCGGTAAATGGGAGCTTTGATTATTGTTTGTCTTATGTCTGACGTAAACAAAAAGCATTGTGCTTTGTATCACACACCTCTTTCTCAAAGAGTCAGGTACAGATCAGACGTCTGAACTATTGTGCATGCTGAGTTCATGGGCTGGAAATCAATGAAGTTGTCTTGTTTTAAAATCCAGTTTCTCCGTTCCTTTTCTCCATTTTCCTAGTTCTCACCAAAGCGTGTTCACTGGGCAGCCAGTCCAAGGGCAGACTGGCCAGGCCAGCGAGTTCAGCATTGTGGTCTCGCTCTGGCAGATGTGGTGCTGTTAGCACCCAGGGGGCCCCTCCCCGCCCTGCAGCCCTTCCCAGCAGGGAACCTTCCAGAACCTTCGTGTTGTTTGCTCAGGATAAGCCCAGTCACAGAGGGCGCATTGTCACTTTTCTCAGTGTGTTTCTGCAGGCCATCTTCAACGGAACAGTTTAGCAAAGCCTTATCTGTCCTTCCCAGAGTGTTGTGCCCTCTCGCACTTCAAAACGCGGTCACCACCCTGCCTTTATCTTCAGGGGCAGCCTCTCCAGCTCTGTTAGTTGTCAGTATTGAGGAACTCCCGAACACCAGGCAGTCAGTCTGCAACTTTTCAAAGGTGGAGGGAAAACATGAGAACCTGTCGCACCTGCAGCATCCGGGGTCCTGCTGTGTCGGTCTGATAATAGTGTCGCCTCAAAATAGTCGAGAAAGCCAGCACCACTTTGGCTCACCAAGCGCTCCCTAAACATGGACTCGATGGTGTTGTGGTGTCGGTTTCAGGATGAGCCACATCATCTTGGAACAATCAGTCATTTGAAGTTTGTTCACAGGGCCGTTTCCTCAGGTACATTTTAACTTCAGTTCACCGTATTTTATGCCAGGTGTATAAGGTTGGTGGTGTAGGAGGGACAGACAGCTGGAAATGATTTCATTTATACCCTTTCCTCCATCTCTCTGTGGTCCCCAACCAGAGATTGCGGAGTTAGACGGTCCCTCCCACATTTAGACTTGCTTGTCTCCTTTCCCTGTTCTGTTCCTGTCCTGGGTAACGTGCTCTGTTGCTTCAGGGTTTCCTGGGTCACGTTACTGAGGACTGTTCTGTGTGTGTGTATGTGTATCTGTAGAGATAGACAATAAGTGCATTTATCTTTTCCTTCACTTTAACCTAGGTCTTTCTTGTGTGGCAGATCAGTGTTATATTCTTAGTTGCAGCCCCTGCTAATGGTGGGACAGTGACATTAACTTGGGTAATTCACTGTCACTTCATGTTGATGTAGTGTATTCCTGATTCATCCCTGAGTGTGTAGGTATAATCCTATGATAGCACAAGGAAGCAAGACTCGGTAGATTTAGGAAATGGAGTTTCATGATTTTCTGTATGCCAGAGAAGTATGTGGTTGTAAATGCTTTTCAAGTGCAGGAATAAACCCAGGCTGCTGTGGCTCAGTTGGCTGGAGCATTGTCCCAAAAGGCTGCAGGTTCGCTCTCTGGTTGGGGCACATGTGGGAGGCAACCAGTGGGTGTTTCAGCCTTACACTGATGTTTCTTTCTCGCTGGCCCCAACTCCTCTCTCTAAAATCAATAAACATATTAAAAATAATTTTAAAAGGGGGACACAGGAGCAGACAGGAGGGATTGTCAAAGCCTCGTGGGCGGGAACACAGACGCAGCTGACAGGGGTCCTTTAAGGTGCCAAGAACAATTATTTAAAAGCCACTCGGTACCACTAATTGAAGCATCGCTGTTGGGTGTTTTTTATGTATTAAACAAGAGGAGTCATTTCAGTCACTTGTTATCAATGAACTTGCATGGAGTGTCCCAGAACTTTTATATAAGCTAAGTGACCGGGGGCCTGAGGGCACAGGAAGGAGGAACTTGGGCGGTGGAAGAGGATGGGGGCGGAGAAGGAAGGACCGTGGGCTCTGGGGTGGGCGGCTCCACCGTCTGCTGGGTGTGACTTTGGGCAGGTCCATTAACCTTGGAGGGTCTCTGTTTCCCTGTCTGAAAATCGGGGTTTAAACAAAAGGGAATAAAAGGCCAAGTGTCTACCGGGGTGCCCGGCACGTGAGGGGAGGTTCCTAGTTCTTATCTCCCTTCTCATGAGTCTCTCTTCTCAGTAAAGAGCAGAGAAGTAGGCACAGAAACTTGAGTTTTAAAAGTCAGCTGTGCTAAGTGAAGTCGTGTGTATGTGAGGGGGGAGGTTGGTCCCGGACAACAGTGATTGAAGGTCCGTGTACCAGCTGATGACCGGATACGGTCCGGGGAATAGTCTCAACTTCCTCACATTGCCCACACCACATGGAATCAGGTGAACTGTTCCTGTGTTCTGGACATTGTGTTACATTTGGTAGCTCAGAGGAATCTGTATAAAGATGAATACTTTCTCCTTTCCACACATGCTTCCTCATAGCCCCGCACAAATACTATATTGGATTTCGGTACGTCCACCCTTTAACAGAAGAAGCGATTGAAGAGATGGAGAGAGACGGGCTGGAGAGGGCGATCGCTTTCACGCAGTACCCGCAGTACAGCTGCTCCACCACAGGTAAGGGCTCCGCTTTGCAGCGGAGGCTGGAAGGGCCCTGGCAGAAGTGACCGGGGAAGGCGAACGAGGAAGGACAGCGTAAGTCCTCCATGATTTGAGCAGCAAACCCAGCCTGTGTGCTTTCTGCTCGAGAGTGCAGGTCAGTCCGTTTGAAATCTCGTGGCCCATCTGTCCCTTGAGTGATTGGCCAATCTGCTGAGATTCCAAGTGGCGATGGAAGGTGGGGCTGCTAGTGTTCGGGACCCCGGTGCAGCCGTTTAATGCAGGGATTTCCAACCGGCGGGCTGTGGGAAGTTTTAAAACACGCAGAACCTGACTGTTTAGTCAGGGGCACCGACCTCTTTTCCCTTAGATTGCCAGATAAAAAAAATGACAACAGCTAACGTGACAGTAGCCCTCTGGTGTGAACAAATCAAAGTTTTACCTGTCAGCTGGGCAAAAAAAAGTAGTATATTTTTTAGTGTGCTGCAGAATTTTTAGTAATTAATTTATGTATGCCATGAGATGAAAAAGCAGGTACAATGAATGAGTAGATCAAGAATGAACCTTAAAAATAGGTTGTGTGATAAACCTATTTTTATGGCTCCCCTAGTATTCCTATTAATGTAGCAAAGGTGATCACTGTTTGCATTTGGAAAGCAGAGGTGCCCAGATAACATTGGAAATACTGGTATTTTTTTTGTTATGCTTCACTTACGGGTTGGTTACTAATCGGACCGAAGCCCGGTTTGAGGTTCCCTCTGCAAACGTAGTATTCTCGATTTGGGGACATATTACTGTGTGTTATTTATCTTCTACGTACTTAACCGGAGCAGGAGAATAACCTGCGTTTGCCCACCCCTGTCTCATCGATGGTAGGGGAAGCCTCTACGGTCCCCCCCAAGTACGTGTGTTTGTGTTCTGTTTCAGGGACTGGGTCAGCACACTGTCGCCCCAGATTGTTTTTGGATATTAGTGTCTGTTATTTATAGCTAGGGGAGCAACAGAAGGGCCTGCGGTGCCCAGGGCACCCAGGGAAAGGCCCGAGTCCTCAGACACCTGTGAGAGTCTGAATTGTGATTTCTTTTGGAAATGTACCTCTAAAACTTCCAAGTGTCTGGTACTGTGTTATTGGACAGTGAATCAGATTTTATGAACTTGCACTTTTTTCCCAAATTTTTGAGGGAAAAATAAGGGTACGCATTATATATACATTGGTATAATAATCCCGTGTATAATGCGCACAAACACGCAGGTGTGCATTATACACAGCAAAATATGGTCTGCTTGTGCTTTGCTTTAAAAAATATGTCTCCATGTGTAAATGGCTGCTCTCACAATTAGAGGAGATTGTCACTTACGTGACAGAGGATTGATGCTGGGTCTCGTTTCACAGCTGGTTCTGTCTGTGTGTCTAAACCGCCAGCATCTGTGCAGCTCTTGTCCAGCACACGTCACATGCAAGGACGTGTCCCCACAGAGACAGGAGAGCCTCTGGGAATCACAGTCCTTCTCTGAGCCTGCTGAGTGTCGCTTATCTGCTGCGCGTTTTCGACACGCATTGTGGCAGAGCCTGTGCTCAGTCCCCAGGGACTGCTTTCGTTACGTTTTCCTCTTAATTACGTCCAGTAGTTCATGGGATGTTTCTGAGTGACCCCGAATAGCTAATGTGGCTTCCAGAAGTCCCTTTGTACATCTGCAAATGATGCTCACCTGTAGATCTGGTGGTGACTGCAATTTCTGGAGAGATTGTGAACCTGGGATGGACTCCGTTTGGACCCCTCTCATTCACTGTATTCTACTCACCAAAGTGGAACTCACTTATTTCCTGGAAGTTGAGTCTTAGCCTCAGAGCACTCCTTTGATTGACATGTGGCTCTGCCCTGACTTTAAGTTGGAAACCCAACTGACAAATAGTTCTCACCGTTAGAGAAACCAGCAGATTGGTGTCGGGAAGCGTTCAGTGCTTGGGAACGTTTGCAGTGAGTGAAGACTGAGGGAGAGGCCGTGTGTTCACACCCATCTCATCCCATCACGGCCGGGCCCCGGTCCAGCTGCCCTCAGCCAGGGTCACACTGCACTGGGTTGGGACCATTTGCCTTTCTTTAGGTTTTAAAATCTCATGGTTCCCATCTCTTGTGTAGAAATGCAAGGTGGGTTTTTTGTTTTTTGTTTTTTAAGATTTTATTTATCTTTAGAGGGGACGGGAAGGAGAGAGGGAGAGAAACATCAATGTATGGTTGCCTCTCGTGTGTCCCCTGTTGGGAACTGGACTGCAATCCAGGCATGTGCCCTGACTGGGAATCAAATTGTGATACTCTGGTTCTCAGACTCACACTCAGTCCACGGAGCTACACCAGCCAGGGCAGAAATGCAAGTTTTGTTAGATTACCTATAAGGTTTTAATATCCAGTTAACTTATTCTAGGAAATGATGGTAATTTTGTAAGAGCAGATGAAAATAGAGAGTGCTCGTAGGAACCTCAATAAGCTGCTGTTTTTATGAACAAGCCAGTAAAAAGGATGGTTAGAAAGCTTTCATTATAATGTGGGAAGTAAGTCATCTCATAATATTAACTAAAAATACCCAAAGGACTTGGGATGCAAAATTGCATATACACTAAAATTACAACTTTGTAAAACAAGACACCTAAAAATAACAATGGGAAAGAGCGATGCTAGAATAAAACAATGACTGTGTTACTTTGTGGGAATGATGGGCAGTTTCTCCTTCTTTCCCGCCCCCTGCACATCCATAATGGGGTTGGTTACCTTCACAGTGGGGAAAAGAAGTTCAACATGCTTTTAATTGTAACATTTGGTCCCTGCAAATAACGACTTCTTGCATTTCATACATCCACTGTGGCCATGTTTCTCACTAGAAATGACCTCAATAATCTTTGAAAGGCTGTTGAAATGGATTGCTTTTTAGGGATCTTCATTTGCAGCGTGGTTAAATCTATATGCATTTTCTGGTATTGAAGTGAGTGTAATTAGACTGATTCAGTACAGAGGCAGTTGCTTCTTTTGAACTTACAGTGACTGCCTTCACTAGTCTTGTTTTTTTATTTTCACCATAGTCAATATGCAGGTGCTAAGTGGCCCCCTGTACATTGCAGGCAGCAGTTTAAATGCCATTTACAGATACTACAATGGAGTGGGAAAGAAGCCCAGGATGAAGTGGAGCACGATCGACAGGTGGCCCACACATCCCCTCCTCATTCAGGTAGGCCCGCCACCACCCGCAGCCCCTCCCCCGGCTTCGGGTGGAGCGCAGGTTCTTACCCCTGTCTCTGAGCCTCACCCTTCTCTTGCATAAGTTGTATGCTGGGGATTTTAAAAGAAGGGGAGGGGGGTTAGAGTCTTGATTTATTATGACAAGAGAAAGTAAATCGAACCTTTCGTCTGACTAAAGTTAGACTCTCTCCTTTCCTTCGGGTTGATACTGTTGGTCACACACCACAGCAGAATCGCACTCTGAGTGCTGGGCTCCCAGTGACCAGAAGAGCGTCAGAGGTGATGCTAGGGTGCGTTCATAGAGCGAATGACGGACGGACAGATCCTCTATGCTCTAAATCCTTTAAAGTGTCACGAGTTTTTAAAACTTAAAGGTAATATATCTACATGTTCTGAGACATGAAAATAAATTTAACATTTCCGTTGAGAAAGTTTCATATATTAGAAGAAATTTCAAAATTCTTCTACACAATTATGTTTATATTAATAGATGCTTGATATTAGGAGAATCTGTGAAAACTACGATTCTAAAGCCAATGGCTTTTTGTTAAAGATTTTATTTATTTACTTTTAGAGCGAGGGGAAGGGAGGGAGAGAGAGAGGGGGAGAAACATTGATATGCGAGAGGAACAGTGATTGGTTGCCTCTTACGTGTGCCCCCACCCAGGACCAGGCCCACAACCCAGGCCTGTGCCCTGACGGGGAATCAAACCTGTGACCTTTCGCTTTGCAGGAAGACGCTCAACCAGCTGGGTCACTCTGGTCAGGGCACCAATGGCTTTGTTTTTGTTTTTGATTTTATTTTTCAGTTGTAGCTTACATTTAACATTATTCTGTATTAGTTTCAGGTGTACAGCATAGTAGTTTCACACTCACATACTTGACAAAGTGGTCTCCCCAATATTTCAGGTGCCCACTGGCACCGTGCACAGTTACTGCGATGGTATTGATATAGTCCCATGCCGCGCTTTGCGTCTCTGGGGCTGTTGCGTGACCACCAGTGTGCATTTTTAACCCCTGCCCCTTTCCTCAGCCCCTCCCCTCTGGCAACCGTCAGTCTGTTCTTCGGTATCTATGAGTCAGTTTCTGTTTCATTTGTTTGTTTATTTTGTACCTTAGATTCCACATATAAGTGAAATCATAAGATATTCGTCTTTCTCTGCCTGACCTATTTCACGTAGCGTAACACCCCCTAGGTCCATCCATGTGGTCATAAATGGATGGATAACCTTTGTTCCCTTTCAATAAGAGAGTGTTGTTGGTAACCGCCCTAAATCATACAGATAGAGTTCTTTTCTGTTGGTAGAGTTTCTGCCTTAGGTTGAGATAGGAGAAATAGTAGGTGATTCAGATTTCATCCAGTTTATGTTTCATTCCTCAGACAATCTCTGTGGAAATACCAGTTTAACACTTTTTAAGAGCCTGGAGTCACCTAAAATCTGTAACCACTAGATGGTGCTAGACATCATTGAAAGCAGCCAGCCCCCTCCCCCGCCCCCCTTTGGCTGACAGTGTTCTTGGGCGTGTAGGTGATGTCAAGGGTTAACCCTTAGGTTGAAATCCAGTTTTAAGTAAGAAGCAAAAAGTAGGTGCCTTCCCTTAGGGATGCGTGTGGTTCGGGTCTGGGTGTCCCCCTCCCACTCATTTGTTCTGGGACTGGTCCTGAAGCCCCCCGGCTTGCCAGCCCTTTTGCTCTTGCCCTGGACTGGAAGTGAGGGCCGTTTCAGGTCAGCGCTGACATGTGGTAGCACAGAACTGCGGGTCTGCGCAGCATCTGCCTGCCCCGATCCAGTGAGTAATTAGGTTTGCATTAAAATTCAGCCATTTGAAAAGGGGGGAAGCAGAAAGACGGAAAGGTCTCTTAACTGAGGAAGTCTCCGTTCATAAAATGAAAGGGGATTCTAGAGGCATTTATCTGCCCTCCTAGATGGTATGATTGAAGGCTCTGAGAGCTGCCTGCCTCTTTCGTTCTGCTGAGGGACTGCGTGTAGAAAATACCACAGATGGGCTTTAGATGATTTAAGCAGCACTTGGACTTGCCCACAGTGCCTCTGTTTTGACGATGGCTTAGGGTCTGTTGTAAGCCACAGCAGACTGCGTTTGTACTTGCAGGTTTGCAAGATGAGAAAAGGAAAGATACAAAAATGTTTTGGAGACAAAATTTTATACATAGATTTTATTCTTAGTCTTGCATAGGTTGATTACATGAGAAGGTGATTTGATATCTAGCAGAAATAGAGGGGAAAAAACCCTAAGCTAACTAAAACTAAAAATATAATAAAAGACCAGAACCGTGACTGAGAGAGAGAGAGAGGAAGAGAGTGGGAGAGAAACATCAGTTTGTTGTTCCACGTATCAGTGCGTCCACTGGTTGGTTCCTGGGGTTTAACCTGCAGCCTTGGTGTATTGGGAAGACACTCTAACCAACTGAGCTGCCTGGCCAGGGCTAAAACGATAAATATTCTGAATCAACATTCCTATCTGTTACAGGAGGTAATGAGTTAAAATAGTCATTTTACTTCTGTTGCCTAGCTGCTGGGACAGTTGAGGGACACGGATGTCCCAGGCTCCCGTGTGAACTCTGCAGTAGGCCTTCATATCTGGGCTTTTGTCCAGAATATCTCTTTCTGAGCTTCCTTATTTTCCAAACCCTGCGAAGGCTACCAGAAAATACTGCTTTTGTGCCTCATCCTACCACATCCTACAAGTAAATTAGAAATTTTGAAAAGGGAACTAGTTCTCTAGGCACTGTTTTGTGCCTTAGGTCATTTACTGAATTTTGGGGGTTCTGGAAAGATTAATACTATCTCAGTATTTATTGCAGAATAATTCACTCATCCTAAATTGGTATGAATCCAGATACCAACAAGTGTAAATTTACATAGTTCTGGTAAATTGTCCTTTAGAATGATATTTTTTCTTTATAATGTTTTAAAAACCTTTTTATCTGGAAATAATTTCAAACATGCAGAAAAGTTACAAGACTAAGACTAGTATAAGGAACTTTCATTTAGTCTTTACCTAGATTCACATATTTTTAATACCATTTATCTCTGTGTGTATGGATATGTGTCTATATATAAATATACACACGTAATTTTTTCCTGAACCGTTGGAGATACACACACACACATATATATAAAATATATATCACCCTTTACACCTAAGTAGTAGGGGTATGTTTTTCCATAACCATGATACAATATTCAAGTTCAGTAAATTTAACATTGATTACTTTGTCTAATCTATGTTTACATTAGAATTTTGTCAATTGGTCCCGTAATGTTCTTTGCAGCATTTGCTTTAGACGTGAAATGACAAAGAATGATTAAAGTGTAAGATGAAAGGGAGCCTCTTCAGAGCTGGTATTTCAGCACCTATTGATGTGAATCAGAAAGTGCCAACTAGACGGAGGGAATTAACTGGTCTGGTCGACAGAGGTTTGGGGGAGGGGGCGGGGCCTGCGTTCCAGCCCAGGTTCCGCACATGTGACTGAGGCAGCCCCCAGGTCGGCGCATCTTTCCCCCCTCCGTGAACTGAATGGGAATTTTACAACCTCTCATCTGTTGTTATGAAGGTTGTTAGGAAGACTGACTCAGTGAGGATACTGGGCTCAGAAGGAAGAGGTCATAAAAATAGATAATATTTTCTCGTTCCTTTACTATTTCTGTCTAATGTATTTTAATGCAATATGCCTGAAAGCCAACCCAAGGAGATTTAGAAAGACCCTGTAAGCTGTTTTTTTGCTAACCGAGCAAATGAGAGGTCTTAAAACAAGTTCTCCTTCCCATCTGTGTTTCCTTCCCATCTGGAAGCGTGCCCTGTTCCTCCCGAGGGGCAGCGGATCCAGAGCCTTCATGCTCAGTGAGCCATTAGCGAGCTTTAGAAGTTTCCCATCAAATTCCCCAGGCCCCTGCAACCGTTATGAGCCATTCTGATGACGGAACCAAAACAAGAGAGACTGTACTGTTGGCGATTTTTTAAAAAAGAGAGTTCTGATTTTTGGGGATTGCTCTGACATTGTTGGCGCGGCTTTCATTTTTTAAAAGCTGTCTTTTCCTTCCACCCCTTTCTCCCCGCTTGCTCTGGGCCCTCCTCTCCTGGTGTTTCCGCAGTGCTTCTCGGACCACATTCAGAAAGAGCTGGACCATTTCCCGCCGGAGAAGAGAAGCGAGGTGGTCATTCTTTTCTCTGCTCACTCACTGCCAATGTCTGTAAGTAAGAGCATTTTGTGGGGTGACCTCGTGGGAAAGGATTTCTAAATGTGCATCATGTACCCAGCTTCCACAACGTCCCGAATTCTGGAATCTGAGACTTAATGTGGTTGGTGCTCATTTTTAACTCGGGTCACTTCTTCAAACCTAATAATAGCTCATTCAAATGACAGTATTTATCATTTATGACACAGGATGGGGAAAAATCAGGTTTGCAGTTGTTCATGTAGAAAATAATGTATGTTATATGTTACCTATAATATGTAACACGAGGATAAACTCGTAACTACACACCCAACTTTGCCCCACCCTGCATAAAATGATAATTCCTCGAAGAGACGTGCACAGTTCAGGGTTTTTGGTGAGTGGAACAGGGGGAAGGAGGCTGCCCTCGCCTGCCTGACGTTTCAGCAGGTTGAATCGCAGGCCCTCCAGACCGACACGCTCAATCTCATTTTTTGGTCCTCAAGACTTGATAGGGGCTCTCTGAATTCTGGTGAGCGACTAGGGTTTTAACTGGCCAAGACTAAGGACCTGGCCGTGGCAAGCGAATGCAGAGTGTGCAGGAGCCAGAGCGACCCGGCAAGTGTTGCGCTGTGTGATGCGGCGAAGTGCTGGGAGTAAGCAGCCAGTTTCACCCGCTCAGACCTGGCAGCGTGTGCTGCAGACACTGCTTTCAAAGCTGGAGAGGGAAGAATTCGCTTTCTCTGGTGTTGTTAAGGTTTTAACTCCACGGTTAATGGAGCTAATGGGCGAGTCTGGGCCACGCTTGCACTGGGTCTTGACTGCCACCTGGTGGTCACTAGGGTCGAGCCCTTGACAGCTTTTCCACCCACACCGCTCAGTGAGAAGTTGCCCGTTCAGCAGTTTGTAGCCCTGGAGATAAGTTTCTCTGCTGGAAGCCTGCCTGCTGTATTTGAACAGGCTCCTATTCTCTCTCTCTGGCATTATGCAAATCCTCTTCACGTGTCCATCTTCCTTCTCCACCCTCATCCTATTTATAACTGTCCTGCGTGTGATGAGGCCGTGTCTGAAGTGTCAGAAGGGAAGCTCTTGAACTGGGAGAGGAGGAAACACATTTTTATGCGTGAACGTTTCCAGGTGTTGCCTCCTCCCCTCTCCCCCTCGGCCTCGCTCCTCTTTTCTCCCCTCTGGGTCTGAGCATGCTGCGTCCAGGTTTCTTGCTGCCCCAGGGTTCTGAGTGGGACTGAGGAATGCCATCAAATCAGGAGGGTAGGGAGGGGTGGGGAGTCCCAGAGCACATTTGGAATCCGTACTGGACTTGGTCTGGTGGTGAGGAAAATGAGGTTCACACAGGAGCACCACGGGGAGCATCCACGGTCACACGTTGGCAGAAGCGGCCGCTGCAGGCACCATGCCGCCTCCCCAGTGTCCTGTGACCCATGGGCCTGGCAAAGAGTGGGAACTGCATTTACTCAACTATGTTCACTTACAAGCACAACAGCTGTATACACGAGACTTGTAAACAGATCTCCGTCATACTGACAGCCCACAGGGGGACTCTCTGTCCCATGCAGGAAGTTTTTTGGGCAATAAAACCAAAATCTATATTTAAAATATGTGTGCGTCTCATAAGACAAAATTTTAAAGCTCATTTTCCAAGTAGCCTAGTGGGTGTTCCAAAGGAATAACCTCACCCAAGGAGAGAGGACATGGCGCCCACTCTGCCGGCAGGTAAAAACAGGAAGCCCGTGTGTCTCCGCTGCAGGTGGTCAACAGAGGGGACCCCTACCCTCAGGAGGTGGGCGCCACTGTCCACAGAGTCATGGAGAAGCTGGGGTACTCCAACCCCTACCGACTGGTGTGGCAGTCCAAGGTAGGTGTCTGCCATGCGTCCCCAGGCAGTCCGCTCTTTCGAAGGTGTCTGCTTTTGAACTTAACTATAAAGGGGTGGGATTCGGCTCTTTCAGATAGACAGGCTGTTGTGTAAGCTGATTGCTCACCATGGACAGGAAGAACTCTGCCAGCAAGTAAGGCAGAAGGGAAATCAAATGACTATTGGAGTTCCATTGACTTAAAATGGTATTGTAGTTGTACTGACAGTAATTGTTATTTATTGTCTGCCAACTTCTAGAAGGATTCAGGCTACAGTGTGGGAATACTCAACCCTCTGGAAGCAGATAGGCAGCATGGCCCTTGCTCTTAGGGAGGGGCGTGTGCCAGACACGGCGGGAGAGGTGGGGCTGTGTGTACTCACCCTCCTTCTCCCAGGTTGGTCCGATGCCCTGGCTGGGCCCTCAGACAGACGAGACCATCAAAGGGCTTTGTAAGAGGGGGCGGAAGAACATCCTTTTGGTCCCGATTGCATTCACCAGCGATCACATTGAAACACTGTACGAACTGGATATCGAGTACTCTCAGGTCCTCGCCAGAGAGGTAAGTGCTGCCGTCTGCCTTCTTAATCCTGCTGGGATTTGGTTTAAAGGGAACCTTTCTCGGCTGGGATCTCATTGTATCATGCAGAAACATTGTTTGGTGTGTGTGTGTGCGCACATGTACTGTGTCCTCCTTGATCTGAGTAATGCTCAGTCTGAGTGATGAATCTGGACACATCGGTCAGATCTGCGTCAGCAGGGGAAGCGCTTTGGTGCCTTTCTGAAATCAGGTGGCCCGCCATGGCCACGTCAGTTCACTTAGTTTGAGCAGTGTACTACTTGAAAATAGTAACTACATTTTTTTAGGAGCAAATCATTGTATTCACTGATCTGAAGGAAAAAACTTGATTGTTCTTTAGTTTCTTTTCTTCACTTAATAATGTCCTTTGGGTGTCTGAGGTGCATGGGAGTCATCATTCAGAAAAAGAGCATGGAATTGCCCTGGCTGGTAGAGGATTGGGTGCCAACCCATGGCAAACCAAGGGGTCACTGTTCCAGTCCCATTCCCTGTTGGGGCACATGCCTGAGTTGCAGGCTGGATCCGCAGTGTGGGGTGCACAAGAGGCAACCACACATTGATGTTTTTCTCCCACCCCTCCCCTCTGTCTAAAAATAAATAAAATCTTAAAGAAAAAACAGCAACATGGAATCCATACCGGAGCCATGTATGTTGTAATTATTTTGACCATCTTTTTTATGCACTTACCGTACTTCGCCATATACCATATAATGCATACCCACATTTTTGGCCCAAACTTTCAGGGGAAAAAAATCTTTCCTTTTAATTTTTTAATTCAATATACTTCTTTATATTTAGAAACAAACCAGTTATTTTATTTCAGGGTATTGTTTTACATACGGATGTCATTATTGCTTTCTAGAGTTTACTTTTAATGCATGAGCATAAATAAAAGAATTGAAAACATTTGTATAGATGCAGAATTAGTACTACCTATATATAACACACATCCTTATTTTTCCCTCAAAAACTTGGGCAAAAAAGTGCACATTATACACAGCAAAATACAGGTAATTTAGCTGTTTGCTCCTGTGTTGTTATCAGTCTGATTACTGAAATAACAAATATTTCTTATTTGTTATTGGTCATTTAAACAAATGGTCAAGGTGGAGGTGAAGGTAAATGCAACTCGCCTCCCTGCATAATCACAGCCAAATTACAGCTAAACTACAGAACAGCTGTCTCCCAGAATTGTCAGAAAATTGAGCTGTATGGAAGTCCGACAACCAAGGAATTAAAGAAGCAATTCATTCAGACAGGTAGGAGGGGCAGAGAGGCAAAATGACAAATACCATCCTCGGTGTCTTATTATGTAAGACGGATGTGGGTTGTCATTCAGAGTGGAGAAAAACTGGCTCACTCGTCTCCTGGCTGCTGAGGGCCAGCTCTGCACCCGAGTCTAATTTATAGCGTGGTTTCTGTGGGGGTTGTGCAAGTGTTGGGACCTGAGGAGCCCTTACCCCTCATCTTCCACCAGAACTCCTGTCCCTGGTCATCCAGGTGTGATTGAGGGAGGCCTGGCCTCAAAGGACTCTTCACCCTCTGTGGAACTGGGTGGCAGGTGCAGGGCAGAGTGGAGAGTGGGCTGGCGGAGATTTTCAGCCAGTACCCACGCCTGCTGGTTTTTGTGCTCGTGCTGGTCACCAGTCCAGCACTGATGAAGGTCGAGGTGCCACAATGACTCGTCAGTAGTTCTGGTAAAGAACTCATGGGAAAGTGGTAATTGGCTAAAATCAGGTTGTGGGGTTGTCTCTGGACTTTATTTAATGATGCTTTCCATACCCCACCATAACTGAGGCTAGTTGTGAGCTTGCTAAAAAGACTTAAGTGCAAATATGTTCATAGCAGTGTGTTTGGAGAAGTTTTTGTTTGCTAACTCACATTCATTCATATTACTAAACTGAGGTCATTCCTTGGACTATTAGTGACTAATAAATTAGTCCATATAGAGAATAAAGAAAGTCATCTACCTAGAGTTTGTTTCATTATTTTGGTGGCAGAATATCTGTGTTTCAAACAACTTTCTTTAAAAAGTACTTTGAATATTTTCTTCGAATAGAAATAACTTTACTGCTTTTTATAATGAAAATAATAAAGAGCTTAGGTAGCTGAGGGAAATATAACAGAGAGAGTAGAACTCACTTAGAATCTTACTCCTCAGATATAATATGCAAATACTTTGGTTAATATAAGATCTTTTTCTCCTGTAAATATGTTTATATTTTCATTAAAATAGCATTCTTCTACATGTTTAACAAAAATCATATTTTATTCATATATTTTGTAACCTTTTTTTCCTCCTTAAAAATATAGTGTGGACTCCAGTCAACACATGTAATTAGATTTATGTAATTATTTTAACAAATCCTTAATTAACACACATTAAAGATGTTTCTAATTTTTTACTGTCATAAACCGCTCTTCAATAAAGCTCATTTCCTTTTTTCCTTTTCCCACTATTTTCTGAGGATAAATTCCTGTATGTAGAATTTAAACACTGACATGATTCACTGGCTCACCCTGCAGAGGCGGATCTGAGAATTCTGCTGTAGGCAGTGGTGGGGAAACCGTTCTGGGGCTGGCCCCTCGCTGTCGCTGATTTGTCCGCGAAGCTTTAGCGCGCAGTCTCTCTTTGAGAACTCTGTGTTCACTGAATCTCAGCATTTCCCCCTGCCGTTAGTGCTAATGTAAAAGATAAAACACCTGGAAAGCCCTTGGCATTTTGGAAAGGGAAAGAGAAGATCCTAGCTACCTGAGTAAATAATAATTAAATATTTCTCCCTTATTTGGGGGAGAAGTAACTAGATATTTTTGGAGAGGAGAGCAGGAATGGTAGTACAGCGGTCCTCAAATTTTTATTTTAGATGTTTTAATGTAAGTGTATTTAAAATCCCAACTCTGAATTATCCAATGTAGGTTCACTGTACATGAAATTAATTTACTTCTTTTCACACTTGGAATCAAAACAGGTTTAAAAATTTACTTAAAGCAACATTCTGCTTAGGTAGTTTATAAAGGCGTGCATTAGAAAGGTAGTATAAAAAAAGAATGATGAGCAGATTTAAATTACTTGGGAATCCCATCCAATACAACCTCAAAAATGGTTTGGAAACGAAGTACCTGTGGGAAGGTGATGGGGTTGGGGGGAATGGGAATTGAAGAGCCATCTCACGATAACAGAGGTGAAAATCAGCATATGGCTTGGTCCTGTGAATATTTTTCATTTCTGAGCAATCTGGGAACTCTTTTGAAGAAAGCCTTTGAATTGTGTGTGTGTGTGTGTTTTGTAGCTGTCAGTTTCTTTTAAAAACAAAAGGATAAAAATGTGTCTGTTTTTCCCCCTTTTTCTCATTTGATTCAGTGTGGAGTGGAAAACATCAGAAGGGCAGAGTCTCTTAATGGAAATCCATTGTTCTCTAAGGTATCCGTAGCGCCGCAACCACTTTAGTAGAACATATCGGAGAGTAATCCTCTGAGAAGCTCTTACAGAATATTGGTTTTCTCACATATTAGAACATTTTGAGTTCCAATTAATTACAAAAAATAAAATCGAATTCCTTATACTTTCACTCTTTTTTTCCTTGAGATAACCCCAATTTTCTGATTTCTACCCACCCATCCTTATCTTGGGCTTGAAATCCGCCTTTCTGAGAAAAACAAGGTCTAGCAGGTGGGGTAAGAGGGTTTCATTCTCTAAAGTCTATATTTTAAGTTTTCTCCAAGCTGAGGATTCTTGGGAAAGAGAGAGATTACAGAACTTGGTCCAAAGGGTGCATAGCTCAGATGAAAAGAAACGAACGCCAAGCCACAGTGATGAGCAGGACCGGTGGGAGGAGCATGTGCGTGGCTGGGGGGAAGGCAGGCGGACTTCTTGTTCTGATGTGTCTGTGCTTCTTGCCGCCCGCCCTCCAGGCCCTGGCCGACCTGGTGCACTCACACATCCAGTCAAACGAGCTGTGCTCCAAGCAGTTGACTCTGAGCTGCCCGCTCTGTGTGAATCCCGTCTGCAGGGAGACCAAATCGTTCTTCGCCAGCCAGCAGCTGTGACTCCACCAGAGGACCCAGGGGGTGAGGCAGATGCCGACCTCCAGGCTCCTCCGGGGCAGAGGATGTGGAAGTGGATGCATTTAGAGGTCAAGGACGCGAGTTACCTTAGTATACGCACAGCCTTTGGGCACACATCATGTGATTTCTTAAGGATCGGACTCTGAAATCCTTATTGAGAGTTTTCTATTTTTATATGCCAATATAGTAAGCACTTATATTTTTTCTCTCCTTGGGTAAAATTGCTCATTTGGGATGGCCAATAGGCTATTTTAAAAATGAGTTTTAAAAATTTATCCTACGAAATGCACACCTATTTTAAATATGGATTTTGGCTTTATTGCCCGAAAAACCTCCTGCAAGGGGACAGAGAGCCCCCCTGTGCACTGTCAGTGTGAAGGGGATCTGTTTACAAGTCTCTTGCATATAGTTGTTGGGTTTTTAAGTGAATATAGTTGAGTAAATACAGTATAACTTGCAAAGGAAATGTTGCCCACCCTTTGGCAGGCCCATGGGTCACAGGACGCTGGGGAGGCGGCGTGGATGGTCCCTGTGGTGAGCCTGTGTGAACCTCACTTTCCTCACTACCAACCCAAGTCCGGGGCAGACCCCAGACATGCTCTGGGACCCCCCAGGCACGCAAGGCAAATAAACGTGTCAAAATCCAGTGTTTGTCATACGTCCCTGGGCAGGAGTCTGTGAGCCACAGGGAAGGGGGTCCCGCTGCTTCTCGCCTCCAAGGCCAGGGGTGCTGGGACTCCGATGACCGAAGCCGTTGTTAAAGCTCCTGCCAGGCCCGGTGAACCTTTCCCTCTGGGATCTTCTTTATCTCGGGTGACTATCTCCTTACAGTGTGTTTGTTTGAACAGTTGTTTTATAAAGTCATCTGTGCTTTGTAACCTTGAATTGTTTCTTAATTTATAAATTTTTATTACAAGAATTGCATAACATGTAATAGGAAATTTGAAAAATAGAGAAAAGAAAAATAACCACTCCGTAATGCAACAACTATTCATCATATTGTCTTTCATGTCATTCTTTTCCTGTGGATATTTTAAAGGCCATTGTAACCTTGAATTTGAGTGGAGAGTTCTAAAAATATAGAAATCATGTAGGATCAGAGTCTGACCTTCTATACTTGGATTTAAATGGATTAAAAAAATCTTTGATGGATTCATAATGAATTTATAATGATTACTTTGTCTTTTTGCATTGTCCTAAAACTTTGTTCTTCAAAAGAGCATTTCTTTGATTTTTTAAAAATCCTGTTGATAAAGTGGAAATATTAGAGAAGCCATACATCTTCTATATTCAGCATTTACTATATTAATAAATGTTACGACATCAGCAAGGTTTTAACAGTGTGATCATGCTCTCTGTTAAATCAAAACTAATCCAAATTAGTTAATAATCAGAATTACTTAATGGGGATTTACTTTGTAAAAACAAGAAAGGAAACATACTGTCTACTTCAGTTAATAGTTTGCTTATGCCAATAATGGCTCTGAAATTTGAGTCGCATCTGCATTTTTTTTCAAATTGGCTTTGCTATTCATAGATTGTCTTTCCAGAGAAAGGTACAAGGCATAGGTAGTTCTTCAGAATCTTCCTCATCTGTTTCCATCAACTTTGGGGGATTAGGTTCAGGGCAGACGGAGTGACTGCCACCCGCATTAACTGAATTCTCTGGGTTGGTGGCCTGGTGCTGAAGCCAGGTCATACTTGGGGCCATTCTGCCTCCCTCAGGAAATATCCTGAGGGCCTACCTCACTATGGTTGCTTTGGAATCAAATATATACATATTTATTAAGAAGATGTTAAAAAAAAGACATTGCACAAAACTCCAATTCAGGAGCTCTTACTAGGGTATCTGAAGCCCCTCATTTGCAGAGGAAGCTTCCAAATTCACCATGGGCTATCTGGGGTCATGGCCTTGATTCTGAGCCGGGACCAGACTGGCCTTCGTAGCGGGAAGCTAAGGGGCATTTGTTCTCGGAAGTGTTGCCTTTGACTTATTAACCAAAGATGGGGAAGGGTCATACTCGAGGGTAGCAGTTGGTAGGAGGAAATCAGCAATTGCTCTTTTAGAACTGATAAGCTTTGAAAATTATTGTCCTGTGTGTAAACTTTGAAACACAGATGTTTGCCCCGGTCATCAGCGATGATGCACTGTTGGTAGGTTCTTCCAGCTTCATGTAGGTGCAGACCTAGCTTTCACTGATGAACCAGCTTGTACAGAAAAATCACAGGCTCTGTGATGAGGGGCCAGTTTAGCTCACCGAGGTCACAGAAGGCCCAGGTGTCCGCAGGGGTCACACAGAAGGAAAGGACTCTTGTTAAGAATATGCACTCTGTTAAGAATAAGAATACTCACCTTTTAAAATTGAAAGACATTTTCACACTCAAAGAAAATAGGCTTTGTATCAGGAGAAACGAAACTTGTGAAAAGCCCTTTAAAAAAGGTGTATCAGTGATGTGTTGGTACTGACTGAATAGTAAAAATCCATCCCTCTTCCCCAGAGTACACAGGCTTGCTCAAGGAACCCCGTGCACGGAATGAAATGCCCCTCTAGGATTCCTTTTCACTTCCTCTTATGGCTGAAATCATTAGACGATGTTACGTAGGTATGAAGAGAAAGCGGGTTTTCTGCTCCGAGTTGACCAAACCATGCCTGTCAGAAGGTACTTTATGTTAACAATCCTGAATTTATGCCATTTGCGTGTTTAACTGCTCTTTGAAAATAGACTTGTTTTTCTTCTTGGGGAAAATACAATGATTTGGTGGAAGGAGCCTCAGAGTGTGAAGTCACTGCATTTTTTTCCCCCTCAGCTAATCTGTTCTCGTTAATTAGGTAATTAATTCAAGAAACCCTAACTTAAGATATGCAAGAGGGTTTGCTCAACCCGGTGCCATTGTGTTTGCCCCAAACATGTTATGCCTCCGAGAGCCGAGTCTGCACTGCCAAGAACGGGGAGCACGTGGTCTGCGGCCCTGGGGCCCTTCCATGTTTGCCCTCTCGCTCCTCCGTCCCGGGCTGGGTGCAGCCAGGGCCAGGCGCCGGCTCTCGGAGCTGTAGCTGGAGGGCAGAATTCAGAGCTGATGATCCGAAGACAAAATTAACTTCTGTGAGCACGCGAGCGTGCATGCCTAAGCCTGGAGCCTCTGAACACATCTTCAGTAGCACAGCTCTGACCTTTTCACCTTGGCCGGAAGACCCCCTCTATCAGAACCCCGCTGCAGGCATCAGGAACAGGCTACCCAGCATTCAGTGGAAAGTGGAAATCTCCCGAGATGTCACAAGCTGGGGAAAACAACTCTGACTTGGCACTAAAATTGGTGTGCTCACGTTAAAATCGTTCAGCTTTCTCAGTCTCACTAGCAACATGGGCAAATCTCAGAGGAGGAGAAAGCTAATCCTTTCTTTCATGACTTATAAAAATTATAAAATTAAAAACATTCAATCAAGGTCACACTGCCGGAAGCGCCTGTAAAGACCACCCCATGGAGTTTTGCTCTTCATGCCCCATCATTGAGCTTCCATTGCAAGAAGCCCCTTCTGTAACTTCTTCAGTCCCGGTGGCTTTTTGTGGCACAAAAATTTCATTTTATAGCAACAGTCGTCATAACTTTTCAGGGAACATACATCAAATGGGTTCAATCTGAATATCGGATGGCTCGAGAAATCCAACTTGTGTGTAAATCACCGCCAGCTGAAATATTCGTTCATGCCATTGGTATATTGAGATTTCACGAGCTGACTTTCTATCCAACTGGCACCTGAAAACTTGACTTTTTAATTTTCTTCTTTAGTAGATTTTCCCCAGCTGGACTGTTGTGTGCTATGGTTTTATTTTGGCCTTAAAAGTAATTCTCGTTTTTGCCCCTGCTGGTGTGTCTCAATGGATTGAGCCCCAACCTGCACACCAAAGGGTTGCTGGTTCTGTTCCCAGGTGGGGCACATTCCTGGGTTGCCGGCCAGGTTCCCAGTAGGGAGTGCACAAGAGGCAACCATACATTGATTTTTTTCTCCCTCTCTCCCTCCCTTCCCCTCTGTCTAAAAATAAATAAATAAAACCTTTTTTTTTTAAAGGAATTATTGTTTCCAAAATTCACTTATTTTAGGAACTTTACAGGGTGCCAAGCGCTATGGCACCGAGCTGGGCACGTGGGTCTTGGTAGTGCCCGAGAAATAAGTTGATCCCGCCAGTATCTGCCGCACGCCACCCACTCAGGGAAAATAGCAGGTGGCCTTCTGTGGGGTGCCCACCCCCCGCGTGGGATGAGTCTTAGCTGAGCTCTGGGAAGTGGGTGCTCTCCAGAGAACACATTTGTGATATTCCAGGAGCCCAGGAGAGGAAGAATTGCTTTCACTCTCGACGTGCGTCTATTAGGCCTTCCTACAGGGAAAAGGAAGTGGAAAACAAATGTGCCCCGTGATAATCAGTTTCTTACAATAAATATACTTTGATAGCGCCGGCTTAGTTGTTTTTAACTGAAATCATTAGCTTCTATTTTTAGTATAACAACTACTGGCTAAATGAGTCTACAGTAAGCCATTAAGATGGATGTTGGAATTAAAAACATTTTTGGAAAAGAGCCTGTGTTAGGAGCCTTGGGGCAGGAAGTGGGCCCTGTTCCTTCTGGTTGCCTGAGAGCCGTCACCCTGGCGTTCCAGGCTCACGGTCCCTGCCACCTGCTCCCGACATGGGACCGCACGGGCCGGTGTTTGTCCTTCCAGTCTGCCCTGGGGGTGGAAGCTTTGCTTTTCTAACATGGGAAGATGTGATAGATTTTACCCTGAGAATTCATAAAGTGTTCTGTATTTTTATCTTTTCCTTATTTAAAACTTTTTAAAATATATATGGGAAATAATTGTCTGCCCAAGGGCACAAGCCGGGGGTCTGCTGGCTGGTGAGAGCTGATGGTTAAATTTCCAGGTGGTGAAACATAGCAATCATTTTTAAAAATCTATAACTTGCAATAAAATTGTATAAAAAACAAAGGTAACAGATACTCAAATTTTACCCCTTCCCAATTATTGTATTATACTTTATTATCTTTGCTGTAGAGACTGTCTATGTCCTCTGGACCCATGAAGTGGAAATACTGTATAATCATCAGTCCCTGTCCCTTTTACCTGCTCTGCTCAGTGACATCCCATTGGTGGCTTGACACTGGCTGCCGTTGGACTGGTTACACTGTGGAAATCAGCAAAAACTGCACATTAGCAAATGCTGCAAATAAGGACTTGATTGATTGTTTTGCTGATTATCTGGACTTAAGAGCATGATGGGAAGAAATGTTAATACTGCAGATTGAAAGTCAGGTCTGTACATTACATGGTGAATAGCACAGAAACTCAAGGAAGTATTCTTTCAACGTGCAAAAGCGGCTCACGTTTGCACTGCTGATTCACGTGAATGTTCACGTCCGGGCTCCGTGGTTCACCAGCAGCAGCAGCCGTGGCCTGGCTGCAGACATTAGACTGCATAGAAATCAACAAAAGCATTCTTTGAGAATTGACTGAACGGGATTTATAGTAAAGAGCATTTATTTGTGAATCATGTTCCCTACCACTTTCATTCAGGTAAAATTTACAACAAACATGCCTGCACAGGTTGTTTCCTGAGAGCTGGTGGGTGACCGTTTCCCAGCACAGGCCTGCCCTGTCTGGGCCTCTTCTGGGATGACGGGAATGAGGTATGTGGGGGCATACTTGTATTGTTCTTCTGCTTCATTATATCTACAGAGGCAGCACTCTCTATCTATCACTGTCTATTTAGAGTGGGAGCCGCCCCACAGTGACTGGATATTGTAATCTTTTTAGTAAGATTGTCCTTGTCTCCAACCAAGTCCCCTGGGCCTGCTGTTCTAACGACATCCCTGAGAACTTTCGGGCAGCAAAGTTCCGAAGAGTGGGGTTTTCTCCCACGTCTCCTCTCACTCAGTGCCGTGGTACCACACGCAGCAGCTCAGGGCCTGCATCGCTCCCCCTGCAGATCAGTGGTGGTTCTCTGAGGGCCTGGTCTTGTTTCGCAGGGGCGGTTTCTTCACATCTGTTGCTCCGCTGGGCCAAACCTCATGACACCCCTGACGGCCAGAAAGAATGAGGTTGAGCATGGTGTCCACAGCAGGCCCCAGAATGCCACCAGTGTCCGCCCGGAACCCGAGCGCCCCCCTGAGCTCCGTGTCACCATCATACCCAGCCTACGGCCAATGGTTTCACAGTTCCTATCTTTCCTGAAGCTAAGCGACCTTTTCTCTGGGCTCTGCAGACAAGCAGGGTTTTTTTGTTTGTTTGTTTTTAATCTGTGTCTTTCTCATGTCAAGTTCTTGGCAGGGGAAAAAAAAAACTGTC